CGCCCCGCCGCCGCCGCCGCCGCGCACAGCCGCAGACACGGGCGGCCGCGCCGGCAGCCGGCGGCTCGCATGCAGCCGGGGATTACGGCGGGGCGAGGGCAGCGAGGGCTCGACTCTTATCCCCCCCTCGGTCCCCCCCCTCCGCCCGACGCCCCAGCCGCTCGCCGCGCGGCTGCTCCGGCGGCTTTTCATCTCCGGGGGTAGGAGGGAGATGCCTTTGCCGTGGTTTTTCCACCCCCAGCCCTCTCCGTGCCGGGGGGGGCGGTGATGTGGAGCCGGGAATGTAGAGGAAAACCCTCCCCGGGAAGGAGCGACCAAAACAAATCTCTCGCCGTGGCTTTGGCGGCCGCGCAGTGCCCGGGGAAGCCCGAGCAGCCCCTGCCAGCGCCGGGGAATCCCTCCTGCAGCCCCCGGCGGCGCCCCGGGCGCCCGAGGAGCAAGGTAAGCGGGAGGGCATCCCTCTTCCGCCGAGGACTGCCTTTCGCTTTTATTTGTGTTTATTCGAGAGCCCGAGTCATCCCCAGCTGCCGCCCTGATGGGACTATCACGGGAGGCGAGAGCTGCCCGCTGGCCGGCCGGGAGCGCGGGGAACCCCGGGGTGCCCCGGGCGCTGCGCGGGGAGCGCCCCTGGGGAGGGGGCACGATCGGCGGGGCGGGACGGACACCGGGTGTCTTCCTTCCCCGGCTGCCTGGACCGCTCCGAGAGAGGATAACACAATCTCACCCTGGAGCGCTTTGGAACCGTGGCTTGTGTTTTTGTTCCTTCAGAGCTGCTAAAGGGAGGGAGGGAATGACATTTCGTAGTATTCTRCCTCCTGCCGTGGGTGAGCTCTACCGATAAAGGCTCGTCATTTGTTTCCGATGCTCTAATAGCGCTTGTGGAAACCTGATGATAGAAAACCTCAGCGTTCTCGGTAGCTGTCGTTGGAATTACCCCATCTACCAGGGGACTGAAAAATCCTAATTTCTATAAAAGAAAATACACGTAGCATTGTGCTAGTCTAAAATATGCTGTCATATATGCTTTCGGTGTGTAGGTAGCATGCTGGTCCCTGGATTCAAAACCTTAAATATCTTTATGAATAGGTATGTTCATTGGTCTGCATGGTTTCTACAAACCATTCMGTGTGTTTCTTCTCTCAGAATTTCACTGCCCGGGTGAAGGTAGACCTTGGACTATACCCTATGTATGTACTGTCCATATGTATAGTAGGGTTTGGACTACATTCAATTCAAATTACATAATGATTAAGATACAAATAGGCAGTATATGTGTCGTTTTGTGGACATTTTAATTCATTGCAGATAAGACTGACTCCAGCAACACTGCTAAAATTGTCACTTTTTCAATGTTTGTAACAGAGGAAGTGTCCATAGCATCAGGTGGAGACAAGGTTCCTGAGCAAATACATACTCATYGAGACCTTGCTATTAAAAGGACACCTAAGCGAAGGATTTCAGTGACCCCATCCTGTAGCTCTGAGGAGCTGCCAGGATTGGTTTAGAAGAGGAAGAACAGCAGCGAGACTGGGCAAGCTTGGGAGGGGGAAAATCCTGCCTGGTGATRTTTTGCATTAAAGACACCCAAAGTTCAAGTTTGCTCAGCTGCTGAGTCTGTCCAAGTTAGTGCAGAGCCAGCACCGAGCCTTAGAGGCTGGGCAAAGTCTGCGAAACTGGACATCCTACCAAGCCTRGGATGTGATTCTCCAGAGAGTTTTAGTAGAAACTTTCGGAGGAGCAGCGTCAGCGAGTACCACTTGTGAGAATTGTTTGTTCTCCTATCACTGAGATGTGCTAGCAAAACTCTGGAAGTCTTTCCCAGAGAGATGAGGTGCAGCACAGAAAAAAATAGTTTGTTTCTCATTCTTAACACCTCTGTCTGTTCCGTTCAAACAACTGATAGATCTGATAAACTGTCTCTTCGTTCAGCCTTAGTGGAGCTTGCAGCTGACTCGTTATAATTTTTTTATTTTTTTTTTCCCAAAGAATGCTTTTGCAGGCAGCTCTCACCACAGCATTCGAATTGCTTTTGCCTCCTTTCTCAGCTGGGTGCTGTCACTGGAGCTCAGCAGGTTGCTCTCATTCAGACATACACAGACAGTAAAACRTCTTCAGCTTGAGATGAGGGAGAGGTGCTGTTTGGAGCAGTTCAGCCTGAACAGTGTAATTCGCTTGAACATTTTGAAATATCCCATTGCCATGGGATAACAGTGCCATATCACATATATTTATTTGTACTCARCCTCTTTTTTTTTTTYCTAAGTGAAAGTTAATTGCAAAATTCTGGCTTGCCATTCAAAGCAAGGCGAGAGGTCAAGATTTGCAATAGCTTTCTTGCCAGCATTTGGGATGCTGCCAAACAGTTTGTTACTGTCACTTTTAGAAAAAAGTCTTGATGTTATGTGACTTCCTTGAGCTTCATGTAACTACACGCAGGTAAAATATATTCCATGAGGCTACTGTATTTAAAGCCACCTGCTGAAGGATATTTCAGTCAGTGTTTTACTCCGTCTGTTGTTCTTATATAAACAGCACGTTGGGGAGGGTCTCAACTCAGAGGATGAATTCAAGCTGAGATATGTGGTGAATTAGRCAGTGACTGGAAGTATGTCAGTGCAGTGGGATTCCACTGCAGACCCCTCTGAAAGTGTCTGCTCTACCAGCGTTACAGACCTGCTGCTCCTGACTGGCAGAGCTGGGAGCCAGAAAGGGAAGCACTTAAAGTTGCAAGGCACTTCAGCTTCTCAGAGTAGATATATATGCATTCAAAAAATGATTTTTTGGATGTTTTCAGGGGTCACTTCTATTAATTTATCGTGTTATTACATAATTTCTTCTGACCCGGCAATGCTCACAGCTCTTGGAATTAAGCAATGATTGCCTCTGAAAAGATTCCACGTTTGTCTAGTATTGCTATAGTAAGTTTTATCACTTTTAGGAATAAGGGTTTTTTTTACCTGATAAGTGTCTGAATATTATAAATGTGGATGCATAATAAAAAGCAGGCTATTGTTTACTTAGTTGTATTTTGCTGTTTCTAGTCTTATCAGGATATGAGCACCGTAAGAGAAAATATTTTTTATTTCCCATCTGCAGTGGGCATCTTTTTCTTGTGGTTATTGCTGGGGTAATGGCACTGGATATTTGATTTCTTGGATGTTATAATAAAACTTTGGAACATGTTGTTTTGACTCACATTTTAGTGCGTAGAAATGGCTGCTTACTTTGTAAAAAGAATATTAACTTCAAACCAAAATAAACTTTACAATATTAAATTGCGAAGATTTTTAAAAATGTGTGACAGTGTTCTACGAGATAAGTGAAAATAAATTGCTTGGGATATTATAGAGTAGTTTAATCATGTTGTAAATGTAGATTTTCGTGCAATCCCATAGCTTCCTATGKTTTTTAATCTATAATTCTCTGGCCATATGGAAAGGATATGAAAAGAATTCCAYTATTTTGAATTTTTTCTTCATTATTATGCAATTAGAGGTATCATATTGTATGCTRTAACAGATACATTGCTCAGTCATGCTCAAATTAAATCTAAGTAAAATGCAAATATATGATTAAATCAGAAAAATAAACAGAGAAGCTTAACTACTCAAGTATTTCTTGAACAGAACTTGGAGTTTCTTATCTTGGTTACCATATGAAGTCCGTCCCAGTATAGCTTTCCAGACCACTAAATACCATAGAAGACTTAGACAGAGTATACATCAGTCAAGATACTTAAAATTTATTAAGCTTAAACCTGCCTGTCTTCTTCATAAAATGTGGAAGGAGAGCARAGGCTATTTYGCTTTTTGCCTGACCCAGCACTTGYTACAGCACATACCGAAATTTCAGCACTTGACATCTTCCTGAGTTTTCACTTGTTTGCTGTGCAATACATTRCATCTTCCAAGTCTGGAGGGCTGGACTAAACTGAAGATGAGTTTCTTAAATTACTTTTGTTCACGASTATGAGAGTATGATGATGTTAACTACATAATCAGAAAACAAAGAATATTATTTTGAATGCACCTCTTCATGGATTATGGTGACTATATGAACAACAGGGAAGCAATAAAAGCCTCAGGCCGCTAAAATCAGTGGGGGTTTTAACTTGTTTGTTTCTATTGCAGGAAATCTATATTTAGCCATAATGATAGATCAGCTGTGACTTAGGTGTCTGGCTTCCATACATCCCTATTCCTCCTCTGGATAACTGTAAAGATCAGTCAGTAGCATCACTGCTGGCACCGGCAAGAGAGTCAGAACAACAATCTATTAGCCAATAAATAATAYATGCAATGCTGGCATAATGCAGCTCTGAGCATTTAGGAGTAGGCTGCCATAAGCAGCARTTGAACTCTGCACAAGGAACAATGACAATTGACCAATTTCCCTCTCATAGATCCATGACAGGGAGCACAGCACMCTGCAAAATTGTGTGAGGGCATTTACAGCCTGAGCCAAGGCAGAGGGGCTGAACAGTTCTCTTGCTACAGAACGGGCAAGTGATGCAGAAACCCCTGGGTTTGTCAGTGCTTCTCCCTAAGAATTCAGACTTGCTATTGCACGGTGTTCTTCATGCTGGCATCATCTTCAGGTACTAGCTTGTTAGGAAATAAACATCAGCCCTTTAGGTGAAACCACGTTACGAGGAAATGAATGCAAAGCTGTGCTGATAATTAACTGAACAAAGCTCTCAAACCTAATCTTCTTTGATGACACTGGAGATGAGCTTTTCTCCCTGATTGCCTAACAAGCTAAGAAATAGAAATCAGTTATGGCAGTACAGTCCWAATACAGAATAAATTTGCCTCAGAGCATCAATAAGGTGGTTCATAAAATAGTATTTCACAGTACCTCATCAATAGTTAACTTTTMGAAAATCAGCTGTATTTTCAATATGTAGAGATAAAAATTACAATGAAATGCAAGAACTCAAAATGAAGCCATAATGCTTTTTTACAGAGTTTTCAGTTGTATTATTTGCCCTCTTAAGGTGTAAGGGTTTGGTTTACCTGCAAGGCTGTTGACCTCATCTCAGATGTATTCTCAGATGACGGAATAATCCTGCTATAATTTGTAGCCATACRTTTAGTGTAAATTTGCATTTACCAGAGACATTCTGAGACAGTTTGAGCAGAAAGTGCTGGCAAGCCGCAGAAGCTGGAAGAATCCCACTAATGTATTTAAGCAGACTCAAAACAGTGAATAGGCTTAATTAGCCTTGAAATCACACAACTGTGAGTGACAGTATTGTATGTGCTCGTCCAGTGGTCAGTGAGATTAATAGCACACGGAGTTGCATACMTTGACAGCAGTGCCATCTAGAAGGTCTTGCCTTCTGGAATATTTCCATCTCATGCTTTCTTCATTCCTGTAATTGCTGACATCGAGCAAACCTCTCAACTGGGTARGCTTTGTACTTGCATTTATTCTCAGGA